GGTGTAATGTATAGATCAGCTTTGTATAACAAAAACAAAGGATTTTTGAAAAAATCAATTATATCTCAAAATTTTGTCTATGAAACTACCTTTTAGGCTTTAACAAAAAAAATTCCTTGCATAATTTTACTTTAGTTTTTGTTTAACTTTAATATCAATATTCTACTCTTACCCTAATATTAAAAAAAATAAAATTTTTACTTTAAAAAATCGATTTATATATACGATCTGATAATTACATATGACATAGTGCCATGACACTATAGTGCTGCAAAAGTATTTTATAAAAATTATATAATAAATATAAACAAAAATATTATATATATAAAATAAAAAAATAATTACAGAAAATAAATATAAAAAAACAAACAACTCTTTCTGCTAATTCTCTGTATACAAAAATACAAAAACAAAACAGTGACAAAATACTGTACATAACTGGAAAAAAAAGATTTGCAACTCTAAAAAAAAATAAAAAGACTAAAAACAATACTTAGTCTCTTAAGAAACTAGAGTAAATAGAGCAGAAGCAGCAAAGATATAAAAGAAAACTTGAAAAATTATTGATAATTTTTGTTCTTTGTAAATCATTTAGAGAATTGACCTTAACTCCATAATGCTGATCAGTTTTTGTTATATAAGATATACAACATAATAAAAAATAAACAAAGAAAACATATTAAAAACAGTTGATAATCAAAAACAAAAGAGATATACAAATACAATAACCAAATAGTCATATGAAACAAAAAATAACAAAAAATACAAAAAGAAAATTTATAACAGCAAAACAAGCAGAAGCATAAATAGATGTATTATTAATAAAACAAAGACAATACAAAGCAGAAGAAATTAAATATACAAAACTTGTATTTAGAAAAAAACAAATCAGTATATCAAAAAGCAATACAATTAGAAATTGACCCAAAGAAATATATAGAGCCTTTGCAGTAGAAAGGATAAAAACTTAAATATATCTTATTTTGAGATAATTAAGTTTAATCACTTGTTTTAATTTTCAGACTAATCTGAGTTACCAAATTTTATGATTTGATTGGTTATAGGTAGCAGGTAATTATCAAGCAATCTTATCCCTTAAATTGTAATACAAGCAAATTTGTCTGCATTTATTTTTTTAAACTTTATTTTTTAATAAAATCTTAAATATTAATTTTAGCAATTTACTTTCTAATTAAAAAAGACTTTTAAAGATCTATTTTATTAACTTTATTAAGAAAAATTTTTAAAATTATTAAAAACTTTTGATTAATTAAAGTTTAAAGTTTGTGTTATATTAGAGTTTAGTATTAAAAAATTTTTTAGATTTTCTAAAATTTTATATGTTCTCAAAGTTAAAAAAAATTTTTGCTCTTAAGACAAATATTAATTTTTACAAATAAATTACAAAATTTATAATAATTAAAATTATAATCCTTAATTCAAACTATAAAGTTGTATTAAAAACTATAAGTCTAAAATTAATATTTAAAAAGTTTGTCTTTATAAATTATTTTTAAAATTGTATATTTTAGATTCATAAGTAACTTAAAAATTTTTCTTATAATCTAAAAATAAATACTGCAAAAAAGTAATCATTATTTTCAAATATAATTATACAAAGTTTTATTTAATTATTTTAATTTTTTATAAAAGTAAATCAGAGCTAAAAAGTGCAAATTTGCCTATATTCTATTACAATCTAAGGGATAATATGCTCTGCTTTATACAGTCTTGTACAACTTTTCTTTTTATATTATCTTAATTTTTTATTATGTAAATTGACTTTTATTTATAATCAAAAAATGTTAACCACATCGAAATTTACCCAAATTTAATAAAACTCAATTTTTATTTTTGGAATAGTTTTTGTTCTTTCTACTGCAAAGGCTCTATATTATATTAGAAGTAATAAACAGAATATAAAAAACTTATATACAACAGAAAAGAAAAGATGGATAATATGTAATAAAGAAAGATTAGCTGCTGTGTATACAAGGTTTAAAATAGAGACAGAATGGATAAAAAGACTAGATAAACAGAAAAAGTAATAACAAAAACAGTGTAATAGAATAGTATTAGAATTATTATTACAGCACTTTAGAAAATCTGTTAAAATAATAATAAAACAATATGCAGAGAAAGAAAAAATAAAATTAAAAAGGATAAAATAAAGATATAAGTTTAACAGAAAGCAAAGCTTCTAGAACAAAGACAACAAAAAGCTAAAGAAAAAGAAGAAATATTAAAGAAAAAAATGATATTGAAGGTCTTATAGAAAAGAAAATTTTAGATAAGATAATTAAAAAATTAAGACTAAGAATCTTAGCAACAATCTGATAGAAGATGAAACTTTAACAATATACAAATTAAATATCAAAGTAGATAATAGATCTATATAAGTTACAGAAGCAAATTTTATTAAAATTTACTTTTAGCCTAACTTGAATCATTAACCTAGTCTGTGAGATTTAGAAGCTTAACTACTAAGCTATAAAACCCAAAACTTTTTATAATAAATTTTTATTAATAATACTAATGAATAATACTTAGAATCTTTTTTTATAAGACATGGCCTCACCTTTGAAGATAAAAAGATTTAAAAATACTATAAAAAAAAGAATATAATATTTTTAATAGTAGTAGTTGTATATATTATAAGAATTTAAAATTTTCATATTATCAAGATCATTATCTTTTTTTACTTTACAGAAGAGATCGTTGAATCTAAAAGATATTTAATTTATTTAGAAACCAACAAAATAGATTCAGTATTTAGATCTTATAACTAAAACAGATTGCTTTGTTAAATATAATCTGATATTATATAAGAATAATACAATTACTAATTATATAACTTTTTTTGGTAGATTCTCTAGATCTAACAAATGTGAAGTATAAAATATGTATGTTTCTATCTGTAAGATAAATTAGCAATAACATTATTTTTTACTTATATATATTTTTATTTAATTCATTTGCCTATAATTTATTTTTAAAATAATGTATTTATTGTTTAATACTATAATAATATTTTTTTAAAAAAATTATAAATTAAAGAAAATTTTATTAGTTTACACATAGTGTTTATACATAATAATTTTTACAAATGAAAAATTAAACCCTCGCTTATGGTTAGGGTAAGGATGGGTTTGAGATTAGGCAAGATATAGCATATACCAAAATTTTACAAGGAATTTTTTTTATAGAAGAAAAAAGGTGGTTTCATAATCAAAATTTTGAGATATCAATATTACCCGTGTACATACAACTCGTTCAACCGTGGCACCTAGGTTTAATGAATCCCATGCGGGATGCGCATCACGCGCGGGATTTTTGGAAAAACAGCGATTTGCCCATCTCTACCAATGATACCACTACCACCAAGACTAATAATAACAACATCTCCAAGATCAATGATAATAACGCCTCCAAGACCAATAATAATAACTCTCCCAACAACTTCTATTACGCCTCCCCAACACCGTTGAATCCCAGATCTTGTAAGTAAAGTTTACATTTCGTAAATATTCTACAAAATAATTCACCACCTGGGACTTAGTTTCTTTTCCTATTCAACTAGACAATACCTCCGATAAACCAATTTCACATTACTACGGATATAGAGATAAGGTTGACCATTCTCTTGATAGTTCTATGTGGTATTCAACTGGTGATGATGATTGTAGTGATAATGATTACGATCCTTAATGTATAATCAAAAAAAATATTTTTATTTGTATATTATGCTGTCGTCCCGAAAATACGGTAATAAGATTTGGCGCGAAAATCAATAAGATTTGGATAAATTTCGGTGTGAAAATACATCACTTTGCCTAGGTAACTATATTGCTTTTTAATAATTATTTGTTCCGGCAATATGATTTTTAATAATAAAGAAGGGGTCTGGTGGGCTCCCATTTTTTTTTGATTTTAATGTGATCATGTAATAAGTATTGGTCACTATTTATGCTGTTATTTCGATTCCGTTTATTACAATTAATAATTTTTATTTGTTGAACCATAACCTACCAATGAATGGAAAAAAATCACATGTGCGTTTCAATTTGGAATGATGACAAGAAAAATTTTAAAAATTTTCTCTCGATCATAGGCGAGTTAATATTAATATACATCGATATCAATCAATAAAATAAATAAATTCACCCAATATACACATGTAAAAGTAAACTGATTATGTATGCGAAATTGATCATCAGGAAAAATAGAAATTGGGAAGATACCCAGGAATCAAGATATCAGCGAATTAATGGATATTTCACCATCTTTATTTAAAAATCCCAGAGCGATAATTAAAAAAGCGTACTAACTATTTTATAGTATCATCATTATCAAAATTAAGTCAGGATGATATCGATCATATACTGATATTGAATAAATTTGCAAAATAAGCATTTACTACGGCAAGCGACATTGCGAATTCTTAGTAACAATCTGTATAACATTCAATTTATAAGTGTCACAGAAGAAATTCGAATTTTATGATTCTATATATTTATCAAGTTTTCATCTCATTTATACAAAGGTGAATAATCTAGCTGATTTGTGTTACTTTTGTTAATAGAGTGCCTGCAGGGATTTCACCTCGGACCCAGTAGTGTAATATGAAATTACATTGATATTCATGATGGTAAACTTTACTTTCATAATAAGTGTTATCATCTAAATGGTGGAATATCCATCTCAATCCATCCGTGAGTGCACCATTAATAGGTTTTCTATATCACATAAATAAAAAAAAAAAACTTAGAACTTTGATGAAAAAATATTCAATAAAGGATTTAAGATCATACTTTTCTCTTATATGTAGTGCCTTCATTTGCCCAAGAAGTTCACCAGTACTTTGAGAAAACGATTCATCTTTCTTTGCTTCAACAGCACAAAACATACAGTTTTTCGGTGAACTATGCCCGGCTAGAAGTGCCACTAAAGTAATTAAGAGTAATTAGAAGAAATTGAGAGCAGAATATTTAACTCGCTAATTAGCAACTTACCAACTTACCATTACTAGATTCCACTCTTTCAGCAGAAATGTAATCAACCGAACCCATTAAAGTCAAATTGCTTTCAACATTTTGGGATGTGATATCATACTCTGGGTATATTGCTAATTTGTCTCCAATGTTATAAGTTTTCGGATCGTATGCATGGTCAACCGCTTCTAATAAGTATGTATCGACTATAGTTCTTCTTGCACTTTCAAGCTAAAAAAAAAATGTGAAATACATAAAGTATATTGGAAATAAGATTTTATATGAACTTACACTTAGATTCCAACGTCGGAATACCCTTTCCATTACATCTTCAAAAAGTTTTGAAGGCTTCAATGTTATATCGTCCTTGAAAATTAATTCACCACTCTCAACTGCAAGTAGATGATGAATATCCTTAACCTCAATACTTGAAAAAGATTTAACCTATATACAAATAAATAAAATATTTATTGCATTGTCACTTTACAGCTGGGAATCTCTATACTTACAACTTCACTTATTCGAAATGCTGAAATTAATTCTGTTACGATGTCATCGTTTTTTCCTGCTAATGCTAACCTATGCGCAATTTGTAAGACAGGATCAAAATTAAATGTTTGCCTGAACGTCTTTTCTTTGCGTTGTGTTCCAAGCAATGATACAAGCTGCTTAATTTTTCGCATATTAAAAGTTTGCTCCGTCCTATATCGTACTCCAAATGAGATACCATAAGAATTCTGGGATGTCTTATAGAGTAATTTAAGTGAAGCATTTTTAATGGCGCGAGAAAGTATAAACATTTTTTAAAGATTTTTATATGTCAAAATTTGGATCATATCTTTTATACAGTAGTAATTCTATTGACGCATTCAATAAGACAAAATTGATACGTATATATAACTACGGGATTTTTTTTCCACTGTTACTAACAGAAAAACTAGCTAATATTTTTTTTCTAGTATCCACGGGACAAAAGACATCAATATATTTAAATTAAATATATTTGAGATATTATTAGTTCATTTGATTCTATATATATATTGGTTGTTTTACTATAAGATATAAATTGATATTTCTAGGTTTATTTTAATTTTAGTTGAACAGGTTGAACAATTTTGGTAAATAGTACAGGTCAAGGAATATAGCTTTTGATGTCAATTAATGCAGAATTTTGAGGCGTTGCCAATCAAAGTGATAATAAATGAAATGATAAAAAATTAATTGAATCAACAATTTTTTGATTACTCTATATTTAACGTTAACGTTATCTCGAGGAATACCGTTACACTACAACCTAACTACGGCCTCTAATAAAAACTTGATTGTCATTATACCCTGCAATACGTTTTGTAATGATATATAGTGTTAAAATATTAAGGACATTCTTTTTTTATAAATTATTGATACGTAATGGCAATAATATTAACAAAAAAAACTATAAATTTTTTGAATTACGTTTTTGATATTTATAAATCAAAATATATATGATTTAATTGTGCGATTAAACATTTAATATTCTTCACTACGGGCAAATAAAATCTAGTTACAACGTATACAGTTAGTCATATCCTCAGAACAAGAATACATGGAGCTCAAGAAGTTCATAGAAAATAAAACTTGTAAGGATTAAATTTTTGGTGACATGAAATAAATTGATTGGATAATAAAAGCTGTAATTAAACATGTTTTAATAGTAAAAACAAAAGTCTACAGAAGTTCTTATCTACAAAAATGGTACTATTACAATCTATGATACAATATTGTAAGATATAGATGAATGTGTGATTTAGTAACGTTATGTTGACAGAGAAAGAAAAACAATCTTTCATATTTCTCATGTACGCATGAAATTCCAAAAGCAAGCATTAATGAGTTCGTCGTAATAACCTATTAAATAAATTCCAAGTTTTTAACATTTATCAAAACCTTAATAAGCTATAAATACTAAAAAAGTACCGTTTAATAAATTTGTTTAGTCTTTTAATCTCTATTATTTATTTCTATCTTCTTTTCAACTGGTTTTTCCCACTTGCGATGAAAGCGAGAACACTTATGTTTTTGTTGCCTTAAGTTTCCGTTTCCGTTTCCACGTAAATGCCGACTTTTGTTTGATTTCGGTCTTTCACGTCTGCGACTCACTTTTGGTGTTGATGAATTAGAAACTTCGAATTTTATTTTTCCTACTTTTTCATCATTAAAGGTAGTTTCTGTTTCTTGTGCTTCAAGTTGATTGGAATCTAATGATGATATTGTATCACTCGCTAATGTATTGTGGATGAAATTATTAAATTAGTCAAGCTTGTTAAATAAAGATTCAAAATTCTTACCATAATCATTGATCAAGCTGCCAATTGACGCAAGCCCACCATAATTTGAGACTTCGATTTTTCCGTTTACCAAAAATTTTTGTGCGTTCTCTTCCAACTTAATGTATCCTTCTATGAAATGCTCTTGCATATCATTATGTAATCCAACTTTCAAGGTAGGTGAATTATTATCACTATTCTTTAAACTAGAAGTGTGTTCAAGTGGTGAGAAATCAATTTCACTACCAGATTCTTCAGAAAGTAAATTCCTATCCTCAATAACTTCTTGCTTCACCTGAACAAGTATTATATATATTCATCAGATTCATTCTCATTAAACCATTCATGAAAATATATTCGTGTGTTACTTATTATCGATCTTTGTTACCTTGACTTCAGGCTGGATGACACCTGATGTTAAGATTACTGATGAAGCTGGACGATAATGTAGATGAAGAACTGCTATTGGAGAATTAGATCTTGGCCTAATATGTTTACAAGATAGTTAGGTTTTCATACCATAGACACTATTAAATGTTAAAATGATATTTACCTAAGAAAATTAACATTAGGCATCATATTGTCAGGAACCCACATTGGTTGAAAAGTGGTAGAAAGTCCAATTGACGCCATTGTTTTCCTTTCAGGTAAAATCTTTTGATGTAATTGGAAGTTTGGAATTTCTCCAACAAGTTCAAAAACTGGGGTAGCTCTATAAAAGTAAACTGAGATAGCTCCAATTCCACCGTAAGAAATTGTTTGTGAAGAATCGCTATAAACTTTATAACATTCATCGGACCACATCGTCTTGTCAAACTTGAAGTAATATCGGAAATCTCTATAGGCACTCACGAAGTGGTCTCTCAGGTAGGCACCAGAATTGTAAAGCTCGATATATCGGTAATCTAATTGACCATCTACAACTATGAAAGCCATTATAGGATCATGTGGTGTTGCTTTAGTTGAGGAGAATCTAATAGAAAATTGCACACCGGCATGTGGAACCTCCGCCCAGATAAAGGAATCACTAAATGATAAGCGAAAATAAATGACAGTATAACAGTATTACATGGTAATATGGGGTTAAAGAAGTTCGAGAAAAAAAATATTACTATTTGCCTTATTTTCCATTCCCTGTTTCTTTCTTCAAAAACGAATGAAGGCCCAGTAGTCGTCTATTGCAAAGTAAACGAGCTTTACTTTGCACAAGGAGTCGTCAGAAAGCAACAATATAGTCAAATATGAGAACTTACAGGTACATCCAGAGTTGTAATAGGTTGTGCTATCTCTGGAAGAGGACGACCTTTTACAAGAATTTCAAGACAGAATCCGTCTAGAATCATGATGAAAGTTGAAACAATATTGGAGACAAACGATTAAACTGATATTTATATATCGAATAATAATAAATATGAAATGTTGTCATGATATGTCCTGTTAAAATAAACCTTTGACACGTATATATATTAATAAATATCCGAATAAGAATAATGTCATCTCCTATTTTGCACGCTCTTATGTAATATACTTCTCGAACTTTTGCTGATGTGATTACAATATAATTACGTGTAAACTATTACTTATTATAACGTAGCATATTCGCGTTTTCATGTAAGCAGCCATCGTCATCAACATTGAAAGTTTACATCAAACTTGTCAAACTTTCGCTTTCAAAGTATTCTGATATGACTTGGACTGCATTCTTTATTGGAAAGACTATCACAAATTGATTAAATTCAGTGAGATTGTGAAAGATTAATTAGATAAATATTTCTTTTTAAGTAATGAATAACAATTATACTAATAAATTTACTAGGATCTCTTTATCGACAGATAAGTTTTTAATCACAGTGTATACACAGTATATATGATTTATTGTTTTATTGTTATATTTGAACATCAAATTTCTTATAATCTTTCAGAAAAATACATATACTTCCACATATTTTTTTTTACAAATCGGCAAAATTTTTTCAATCGATTAGTTGGTTAATTATTTTTCCAGTTGGCAACTAATTGATTAATCGATTAGTTGCAACTAATTCATTAAGTAAATAAATAATTTTTCAATCGATTCATTTGCAACAACCGATTAATTCTTTAATCGATTAGTTGGTGTCTAAAAAGTTCAATCGATTAGTTGTCAACTAATCGATTTTTTCAACTTTCGATTTGTAACACTACTATCATGTACATAATTGCATAAACCAGAAGTTTGAGCCCAAATTTCCATGCAGATATAACAAATAATGCTTGCATCCGAAGATAGTTTATCAAGACAATTATTTACTCAGATAATTAGAGTTAGTAATAATAATCCTCTTGAGTCTTTTATTATGAAACATCATAACCTATATATGCATAATGGTGAAAAACATAATGAAACTGGAAAAAAAAATACTGATTCTTAAAATTTTGTTTTTTGCTGCACTTAAAATGACTTATTAAAGCTAGAATCTTAAATCAGCAGGAGAAACAGTAAAGTAGAAATAAAAAAACGTATACTTACTAAATCAGCCAAATGCGAAACCGTGAAAAACATGAGAAAATATCTCTTGTATCACGGCTAGGGTTCCAACATTTGATCTGAATAACTGTCCAACCGATAATTAGGGTTGAGTTACATAAATTAAATTTTACATTGCATCGTACGTAAGTTTCAGAAAATCTAGTTTCAGAAAATCTAGTTTCATGTAATTTTCATCATGTTATACATAAAGTATCCGATTTAAAAAGTTCGACCAGTATTATTGTATCATTTGATTTGAATGTACGATCCGAATTGTAACTGAAAATTGGACCTCAGAAGCTAAATGTCATTGTGTTCAAAATTAAATTACATGAAAAAATTAATTTACGAACTTACCGTAATTTTACATCCCTACCGATAACCCAAACCGAAAAAAATGCAGCCGGGTCATAATTTGACAAACTGGTTTAATACAACAGACGGGTCACCTAAGTCACCCGTTGATAATTAAACAAAAAGGTTTAGGTTATAACGATAAGACAGACTTTGACGTAGCACAGTAAGGATTTTATAAACCCCTGTAGATCACCCACAAAAAAATTTTCCGGCACGTGACTAAGCCACTTTGCTAACGCCTGTAGAGGTTCGTACTAACGTTAATACTAACGTTCGTACTAACGTTAATGCTAACGTTCGTACTAACGTTAATGCTAACGTCCGTACTAACGTTCGTACTAACGTTTCGTACTAACGTTTGTACTAACGTTAATATTAACGTTCGTACTAACGTTAATATTAACATTCGTACTAACGTTAATATTAACATTCGTACTAACGTTCGTACTAAAAAGTCCAATAAAAAACAATTATTCTATTTTACAAGTTAATTACCGCGGTTTTCGAAATGATTGAAAATGGCAAATAAATTTTTTTTTTTGGTTAACACATAAACACACGAACACTCGATTACTTTAGCATGTTGATTAAAGACCGATTTACGTAATTGTTGAAACAATAGTCATGCGGTATGACTATTGTTTCAGCAATTACATAAATCGGCATCAACCTTCAATCAACATGCTAAAGTAATTGAGTGTTCGTGTGTTTATGTGTTAACCAAAAAAAAAATTTATTTGCCATTTTCAACCATTTCGAAAATCGCGATAAATCTATCTAAACAATTTAATTAAATCCATCTTTAAATTTATCTAATTAAATATTAATACAACGTCGTACGAACGTTAATACTAACGTTACAATAAAATGAATGCTGATATTAACGTTAGTATTAACGTTACCAACGTTAATACCAACGTTAATATCAACGTTGTTAATACTAACGTTGGTATTAACGTTGGTATTAACGTTGGTATACCAACGTTAATACTAACGTTAATGCTAACGTTAATACAAACGTTGATGCTAACATTAATACTAACGTTAATATTAACGTTAATACAGACGTTTGTATGAACGTTAATACGAAGAAAGGTATGGAAAAGGCGATGAAAAGCTACGAAAAAGCACCGAAAAGCGATGAAAAAAAGTGACGAAAAAAGCACCAAGAAAGCTACAAAGAAAGAACCGAAAAAGCGACTAAAGAAGCATCGAAAAAGTGACGAAAGAAGCATTGAAAAAGTGACGAAGCACCGAAAAAGCGACGAAAGAAGCGCCGAAAAAACGTCGAAAGAAGTGCCGAAAGAACGTTGAAAGAAGCACCGAATGAGAAAAAGGTACAGAAAGAACAACAAAAACAGCACCAAAGGAACGACGTAAAAAGCATTTAAAGAACAACATAAAATGTATTAAAAGAACGCGTAAAAAGCATCAAAAAAAAATAATATAAAACATATCGAAAAAGCAACATAAAAAACACCGAAACAACATAAAAAGCACCGAAAGAACGACGTAAAAGGCACCGAAAGAACGTCATAAAGTCACCGAAAGAACGACGTAAAAACAAAAGAACTATCGGCACAATGTGATGTGCGTAGTCACGTGCCGGAAAAAATCGCGAGGATCACCTGACCTCATGATCATGAAAGTTACTGGATCTAATTATTGATATGAATCAAGTCTACATAATGAATTTGCATAATGATAAGCCGCAAATTTTCTACATAATGTAACTTTGAATTTGATAGGTGACAAAGTGGTGGCAGAAAAATTCGCGGTGACGTGATCGCCGAACCACTTCCGATCTGATTAGAGGTGCAGACATATTGTCGTAATTAGGTAGTAACCTAATTACCTCAATAAAAATTATCTGTTTTAAAGTAGGTCGTAACTAATTACGACAATATGGGCGCTTTGCAATAGAAAGGGCGGATACTCAAATATATATAATTGAGTATAATTGAGTTTAATCGTTTTGT